CCGGCTCCCCCATCATGTGTTTTCAGTTCCTGATTCACCACACCCTCTTCTTTTTTGTTTATGTAGATTGTCATCGACTCGGGATGAATCTTCCACATGAACTGAATCATGTCTGCAGTTGATAGAACCTATATGTTAAAGCACTTAAAATTAGTTCGAGATTATACTAGCACAAACGGCACAATGACTTACTTGCTCCAATCCCCGCACATTTTTCATATATGTTAGAAGATCAAAGACACCAGGAAAATTTTCTTTGCGTCCCTGGCCTTTTAGTGTTTTCGACGTGGTGCCCCTTGAATTGCGTATGTGCTGACGAGAAATAGCTTAGAAGCTGAGCACAAATTCGGAACTGATGCTTGAACCAAGCCTGTAGTCGAGTCCAGCAATGCAACAACATGGTGAGCGTTTGTTGTTTTCACTTACAGGAGCTGGATACTCGACAATACATATATATTACCAACTCGCGGACGTTTTATAAAGCCTAATCGATTTCACTAACCCGTCATTAAACAAGGTTTTACAACGATACTAGTGATACGAGTTATAATGGGATTTCTTACGAGCAACAAACATATCGTACGTACAGTAAAATGCTGGTCAGATTTCTCAACAAACGTTGCGAAAAGTGCTCGCCTAGAGATACTGATTGGTGCAAAACTCTCAGCCAAACGCGATGGAGTAGATCAAAAACAATGCATGTACTGTGTTATGACATGAGCTCGAGAATCAACACTGGCTATATCAAATATTGATTAATTGGCGAACTTACTATTAATGGTGTCGCCTTCTGCTATGCTAACATACACTCCGAAAAATAAATATACAAAATACTGATTCTTTACGAAATAGATTCTTAGACGATTAAAATGTGCCACCAGAATTATATTTTCGAATTATTTTCTACCCAATAAGATTTTGAGCTGTTTTTGAGTACTTATTCAATCAATCTTGGTATTAGGCGCAAATATTGGGCATTCCCACCTGTTTTTACTAAACGAAAGTTATAATTAGCTCGATGCGATCGGACTAAGAGCATCTCCACTCGAGCGTGTTATTGCTAATCAAGAAAATATTTTTCCGTAACAAATGCTAAAAATAGCTTACGCCATCCCAGTCGGTGCTCTATTGCTATCTAAATTTATAAATTTCAAGCAGGTGGGCTATTCCAAATATGAATAGAGCGCGAGATCTATTGCAACAGCTGCATTCGGCAACGGACTACCAGAGTACAAAAGCGTCATCCACCATTCTACAATGGGACGAGGGCGCAAATGGGAGACTCTGCAAGATGAAGCGCTAGTTAGCACATATTTAGACCTCTCTCAAAACGCCATTCAAGGTGCAGAGCAGAAGGCAGCGTCTTTTTGGGATTCAATTCTCAATCGATTTAATAACGCAACAAAGCCGAAGAAGGAGGAAGTTCGTACTGCGCAAGCGCTTCGCAATCGATGGTCTAGTATTTCTCACGATGTGGCCAAATTCGTGGGGTGTTATAGTGTTATTAAGGCCTGTAATGAGTCAGGCAAGAGTGCGGATGACGTTATGAAAGACACTCGATTACTATTCAGAGAGCAACAAGGATCCGAGTTTTCTTTCGAGATTTGCTGGTTGATTCTGCAGAAATGCCCGAAGTTCATGGATGGGATTAGAACCCGTGGGTCCGGATCTAACGCTGGTGTGG